CCAACCGCACTGTATTTCCATAAGCTGTGGATTCACCGTTCCCACTCTTAAATCATTCATAGGCAATTCTTTTGCTAAGTTATTGAAACATCACTCTCTCTTACACACACACACCCCAAACTGGGTCTTCTTAAAACATTAATGCAGCACTGTTTTTATTATTACAATCTCAAAAATCTGAGTGCATGACAACCAAGAGATTCTGTGGTTAAATCTGCCTTAATCATTCATGTTATAGATTTTTAAGATACACCCACAAATTCAGAATGTTGTTGTTCACATAAAGGGAAAGTGATCTCCAAACTCTGGAAGAGAAAACCAACTTTCTTCCGTCCTTTTTGTCGGCAAGCCTTTCTCAAAAAGAATAATTTAATGGCTAAAACGTTCCATTTATTGATATTTTAGAAAACCAGATAGCTAGGATATTTAAAAACCTCTTTTTCCTTGTCACGTATCTTACATGAAACAACGTAAGCCATTTCTTTATTGGCTGTGAAGTAATGAAATTTCAGTCTCCTTAATTAAAATTAAGATGACCAACATTGGGAGTTTTTAATTTTAAACAAAGCTATGTCCACTTTTAACTGTAAAGGTAAGTTAAATGTGCTAAAAAACAGATATCAGCAACCTTATTACATCTCTGAAAACCTGAACGATCCTGAACTGACACTTTTTGGGAAACTCACGGTACTATAGCAGCTACAATTTTTAGTGTATGGAGATGTGCTAGTTTGCCTTCTTTCATGCTTTGCTCAATAAAAGTCGGTTTTCGAGAGCCTCCTCTGTCTGGTGATTGGTTCTTTTTTTAATTAGCCGCTCTACAGTGAAGTCAGCTTTATTATTTTGTTAGGTATCCTCTTAAATGGGATTTTTCTGTTCTGATTAGACCAATGTGATTCGAAGCCCTTTCAGCAGAAAAGTGCCCAAGTAAAAAGTAAAATCAAATGCAAATAAATAATGATTTACTGTTAGTGGAGTGTAAAAGGCCTCCCTCTCTCTCAGCTGCCTTCAATTCAGGATACTTAGTGAGAATATTTTGAATGTATTCGAAGTATTCTTTAACTTCAGAGTGTTAAAGAATATTTCGAATACATTCAAAATGTACATTCCAGTCCTAAAGAGTGGAAGACAAACGAAGCACTAAATCTGCATTTAACACAACTGGTTTATAGCTGAACTCGTTTGAGCTGTGATGCTAGGGAAGGCTCCTGTTTATTCCTTGGGCAGCAAAGGTGACTAACAAGCATGGCACTGGAAGGAGAGAGAAAAAAATCACAAAATTCACTGGCGAAAGCAATTATGTTTGGAAGAGTTAATGGGAAAAGGAAGCCAGGCTGCCAGAGAACACGGTGGCTGCAGACCATCAAAGCTGACACCAGCCAGAGCATAGATAAAGGTAAAGGTTCCCCTCGCATATATGTGCTAGTCATTCCCGACTCTAGGGGGCGGTGCTCATCCCCGTATCAAAGCTGAAGAGCCAGCGTTGTCCAAAGACATCTCTGTAGTCATGTGGCTGGCATGACTAAACACCAAAGGCGCACGGAACACTGTTACTTTCCCACCAAAGGTTGTTCCTATTTTTCTACTTGCATTTTTACTTTCAAACTGCTAGGTTGGCAGAAGCTGGGACAAGTCACGGGAGCTCACGCACTAGGGATTCGAAACTGCCAAACTGCCGACCTTTCTGACTGACAAGCTCAGCGTCTTAGCCCCTGAGCCACCGCATCCCAGAGCATAGAACTCCTCAAAGAAAGAGTGCACGTTCAGAAGACGTGGAGAGGGCCTGGCCCTTCGAGCCACCCAGAGTCAGGCTCAACTGAATGAATGTATGTTGATTTTATTTATATGCCGCCCTTTTCCCCCCGAAGGGGACTCAGGGCGGCTCACAACTCAACCAGGGAAGGGGGATACAAATAAAAAATTAAAACAACAAAAAACAATGCATGATTAAA